AGATCTTCTTTACAATCATAAAAACCGTTTAAAGTGCATTAATTCCTAAATGCTTTGTTGAAGCAGGTCAATATTCATTATTACTTTTTTCGTGCCTTTTTTATATTGTAAATAAAATTTACGTACCATTCAAATACCTGCAACGTTCAAATGTAATTGATAACTGCAGGTTGTCGCCGTAGTATGATAAATATCAAGTACTAAATAATTGTTAGTCAGACAAATATTACCCTAAACGAAAAGATTGAATCTCTTACGATACTTTACAAGATTCCCTCGAACGAGATCAAGCTATCCTCACAAATTACATATTGATCTACTCACATAAAAAATGCACGATTTTCAACGATCAATTGGAAAAATCAACTACTATAAATCTATATACATCAATAAAAACTTATTCTTTCTAATACAGTATTTAAATAAGTAACATATTTTAGTACACAAACGCAACACTTATGTGAAAGACTAATGTTTATAAAAGTAAACATTACGTGGCTTCTTGATTTAATCATGAAATTAATCCTAATGCCTAATATTGCGAATGTAATTAAAAATCCAAAAGGAGAGAATCACATAAACTTTCAATATTAACATAAATTAAAAGTATTTTACAATATGTGATAAGTGAAACTAATACATTTAAAGTAATTTAGGTTTATCCACATACTGTTTTCCGTGGTGAATGATGGTTGCAAATGTACCACCCACCATGGCACCCCAAAATAACATGTACAATAAAATTTCAGTAGTGTATCTTGAAGGGAGGATTATATGGGCAACTAGCATTGACGATGCGACAAGAAGTACCAAGGGGAACGTAGCGTAACGCCAATTTCTTTCAGACTCCAAAGGACATTGAACCGATGTACATTCGCCATCTTGTACAATGTAACGTCCCAAAAATAGATCCAAGGAATCCTATAGAGCGCGTAGAATAAAAATCATTTTTCAAAAATATGTATTCCACAAAATGTTGTAACTATGTACCTGTCTATAACCATCAGTAAAATTATTTTTATAATATCTTGTTAAAGAGTTTATGCCGTCTTTCATGGCGCCTAATTTAGTGCGTTTACCAGTACGCGTGAAATCTGTTTTTAAAGCACCAGTACCTGAATACTGAACACTTATCATATCTGCATTATCAGCCCAAATCTATAAGTGTTGTATTTAAATTAATATAAGAAAACAACAAATGATAATAGTATTAATTAAATATAATGTTACCCGTTTGAAGTGCTCTTCAACACTAGGGTGATCTTCAATTCTCCTCAAGACTTCTAACCTTGATAATGCATCATTAAGAACTCTCTTTGCTATCATACTTTGAACAACATTAGTTCTATCAAGGCAATCAATACAATTTGTACGAAAAACGCCATCTTGTGCAGACAATAATGTTCCGTCTGATAGAAGGAAAAAGTATCCCATTTGTTCCAATTCAGGGGTCAGTCTGTCAAGTAACAGATTTAATCGGTCCCATCTGAGTCTCCTACATTCAGCATGGAAGTCAAAACCTTCATAATGAACATTTTGATTGTTAATTCGTTGTACTATGTTCCGATATGCCTTCTCCAACAGAGCTTCTGGACCATGCTGATCAATCTATATAAAAGAATAACTTGTTCACAATCACCAACAATTTCAGACCATATTGACTTACAAAATAATGTATTACCAGATTAATTAAAATTTGCTTTCCATAGTGGAATATCTGAGCTTCAAAATGTCGAGCACAAGCAGTCTGATGATCCTCATGGCTGCTTAATTGTGGTTTAGGTTTGTATTTTAAATTTGGTGCCTGATACCAAAACAAAGGTATAGAGCCACGTGTTTGTACAAAAGATATACGATGTCCGTTGAATTCAATTAATTGTTCTGTTTCTACATAGTTAGAAACATTACCAGTAGAATCTATACCACGTGAAAATAATCTTGTCCCTGCACGATGTACACTTCGTCTAGATACAATACCCAAATTAAATGATGTACTACCAGTTACAGTGATAGTATTTAATGACACAACTACAAAAGTATTAAGGAAAGCACAGGTAAAACCATAAAATAAATATTCTGTACAAGAATTTATACATTCAAGGATACATCCATGTATAATTGGCAGACAAAACTTGTACTGCTCTGGCCTCGAGGTTAAATCTTGTAAAAGATAAGCATTCCATACGAATCTTAGATCTGCTCTATCATGAAGCGGCATCTATACCATACAAAAACAATGCACATCTTTATCAATTAAAGGCAGTTGTTTGATATTAATTAAACAAATGATAACCTGTAAGAATTCAGGTGGTGTATTATGAAGTCTCTGCATTGTATGACTAAGGTCATATGTATAACTAAAATAGAAATGCGGTGTATTCAATACAGATTTAATCATCTCTAAATACGTGGAATTATTTTGCAATTGTTTTTCACTAAGATGCAGAGAAGATTTTGTGTATGGTATAACTTCTGTTGCAACTATTTTGTAAATTTGATGGCCAGCTATAGTTCCAATTTCTATGGCTTCTGTAATGATTATAAGATAACGACATGCTAACAATCTTATAGTTCCTATTATGCCCCATATTTTCCTACGACTTGCAGTTGATGGAATTTGACTTGCTGTACCAGCTGCAATAGAAAATTTATTTTTATGCATCTACACTAGTGTCTGACTGACATTAATACTATATTATAACATTAATTACCTTGAGTATAAATTTGCTGACTCACTCTATCAACTACAAGTAGCACTTTAGTTCCAACGGGTTCTACATAGAATTTTTCTGGTGTTATATATCTGAAACAGAAAGTAATTTTTAAATAGACATAATGAGTCAATTAGTTGTTTATAAATTAACTGTAATGTTCTCAAAAAAAAAACTATGTGAAAAATACTCACAAATACAATTTATCATATACGTCTGCGGGTAATTTCATGATGTCACTCAACAATCTTGACAACGTGTTAGACAAGAATATAAACTTGTAAGAAATGAAGTATAATAAGAGAAAAAAATTAAACTATAATGACACTGAAAATAATAGCCCGTACATATGCATAAAGTAGAACACGATGTAGACTTAGCTATAGATAAACTGTCAAACTGTTGTCAACTAAATATATGATTCAACATCATTATAATCTGTCAAAATCGGAGTAACCTCCGTACGAATAAGATTTACACTTTTTATTCGTGGCACAGTGTACTACTATACAGAGTTGCTACTGCACTTTAAACTCCAATAGATGCTGAACTTATAGTTTCTCATAGTATCCAACATAAATATATCTAAACCAGCGATGCGAATTGCCTCCCCTCAAACTAGTGATTCTTGATTAGCGTTCTCCTATTAAATACCTCTACCACCACAGACATGGTATAGGATAGCATTGCTGGCTTATGAGACTTAGTGTCACATATTTTGAATTACAGACTGTCTAAAAAATCAGAGTTTGCTCTGCTCTCTACGCCTAAAGAACAGTTAATAGGAAAACTACATCAAGCAAAATGATCAAAATTGATCAAGTAGTAAATATGCTAAAATACTAATACCATAAAAAATGCCTCGATGCACTAGCGGACTCTACCTGAATCGAACGATCAACTACTGAACTATATAAGACTGTGACATGAAAACTGTGTCTGAGAGGTCAAATAAAAAAAGTCAAGGACTTAATGAAGATTCAACCACTTTAAACGAAGAATCATAGTAATTGTCCATTCTATTCTGACAACGAAGAGCTCTCTCTTATTTTATAGTATATAATGATTAATTGGTACTCTAGACCCCAGACTAATATTTGTTTTGTATATTATAATTAAATATTTTTGTATTTTGTATTGGGTACTTCTTAAAATTCATCTGATTCAAAATTCAGTATTATTAAAGGGTGGTTGTAGTCTTTTCAATTAATATTTAACTTCTTCATACGTAATGGATTATAAAAATCTATAATGCCACCTACAGCAAGATGCTTAAACTACTAATCAATTCATATCATCATATTGTACCGTTTGATATAAGTCAGGGCTGTCGAACTGGAATTTCGCGAACTCCATAGTGACTTTCCCCTCACAAAGAGTTACCCTCTCCATACCTACTTTTACCTGTGTGTACACTACATAAATCTACTTACGTACACAATCTCGAGTAGCTCCTAAATTAGAGGTAGTGGAGGAACACTGATCGAGAGTCACTAGCATGAGGAGATTCAGTTCGACAGCTCTGCTATGTGTCACATGTCGTGAAAAAAGTATCTGATATACACTCATATTAAAACATCTAACCAAAGTTTTTGAAATGTCAAAATAGTTTGCCCACTTTGTATTTAAACTTGTTTAATTTATTGAGAAACGTCTCTACTTTTGTAAACAACAATTTTCTAACATAACGTAAATTATCGAAAAAATATTGAAATGGAAGACCTACAAAAATTGGAAGAGGTGGCCAAGGCGAGAGCAACAAAATATGTGTCTAATTTATTACAACGTCCAGGTCAATTGGAAAAAATTGATATGTATAAACGTAGAATTAGTCGAAAGAAAGCTTCCGTAGAAACCATGCTCAAAACTGCAATGCAAAGTCAATTAGATGGAGTTCGAGTGGGCTTTGAACAACTTCAAAGTTCTTTAGAAAGTATTGCTTCTGTAAAACAAGATTTAAATGATATTGGTGAGTTGTTCAGTCAAATTCCAGAACTTAATGCAAAACTACAGGCTGTCCAAGAAGAAAATATGCGTCATTCGCAATATGTTACTGCCAAAGAAACCCTGAAACATACGTTTACAGTGCCTGACAGTGTTGAAAAGACTAAACAATGGATAAATGAGGGTAAACTGTTACATGCTCATCAGAGTATTATGGATCTTGAGAATTCACGGGATGATTTACTTTACGAACTTCATAAGCTTCCAAATCAATCACCAGCTGACACAATTATGTTAAAAGCTTATTTAGAAGATGTTGAAATGCTTTCACAATTAATGGAAAAACAAATCAGATTAGTATTAAGTCGCACATTAAACACTGTAAGAAAAGAACCCACTGTTATTGTAACAGCATTGAGAATTATAGAAAGAGAAGAGAAAGCAGATCATTTTGCTATTCAAAGGCATAAACAAAGTGGATTCATGCCACCAGGTAGACCTAAAAGATGGAAAGACATGGCTATGAAAGTTCTTGAAAAGTCTATAGCTAATAGAATTGAAGGTACTCATGTTGAAGAAAGGGTGGATAATAAAATGTGGCTAGTTAGGTACTTAGAACTAACAAGGCTCTTAATTCTAGAAGACTTAAGAGTTGCTAAAACATTATGTGAACCTTGTTTTCCACCTTGGTGGAACATCGTAAGAACTTGTGTTAAAATGTATCACACAAGCTTATCGCAACACTTGAAAGATATAATTGCCAATGGTTTAGAAGGAAACGAATATGTATCCTTATTATCTTGGATTATGAATACCTATACTGGACCAGAATTAATGCAACACAGAGAATTGAATATCGATACAAGTGATATTGGTCCATTGTTGAATCCTGAAATTATAAATGACCTCCAGGACAAGTATTTGAAAAATATGTGTCAAAATTATGAAGATTGGATGAGAAAAACTTTAGAAACTGAGAAAGTTGATTGGTGGAGTGGAGTACTACCAGAAGGTAGCACTCAAGAAGCATACTACCATACTGCAGCACCTGTAATAATATTTCAAATGATTGATCAAAATCTTCAAGTAACAAAAACAATTAACGCTGATTTAACAGCACAAGCATTATTTTTATGTATTGAACAGGTCGTTAAATATGGATTTATGTATAGGCAAGCAATATTGGAATTTAAAAATAAACATTTTGAAGATAGGAGTCAAGTACCATATTTTACACATCACATGATTACAGTTGTAAACAATTGTCTACAGTTTACAGAATTAGCACAACAAATGAAACAACTTTACTGGGTTCCAAATACTAGTGGAGATGCCACTGTTAAATTTGAGGGCTTACTGTCCTATTACCAACAATTACGGAATGAAGCAGCAGCTATATTACTCGAAGAATCCTTTTTAGATTTAGAATCGCAATTTCAAGATCTGATAACTCCCAAATGGTTATCATCTCCAATTCCTGTGGAAACCATTTGTGTGACTTTAGAAGATTATTTCCAAGATTACAACCATTTATCTCCCAAAAACTTTGAGTATGTTATTACAGAAGCTCAAAATCTGATTGCGAAACGTTATATTTCCGCAATGCTGCAACGAAAAATATCTTTAAAAACATATGATGAATGTTTAACATGTACTTCAAAGATAATGACAGAAGCAGACAAACTAAAAAACTTTTTCGACAGAATAGCGCCAAAAGTAGGAAACTTTAATTCTCCCTTTGAAATAATCAAACGCCTTGCTGAAGTATTACGTTGTGAAGATTCCGAGATACTCTCTCTTGACTTGCATTCTTTAGTTGAAAAATATCCAGATATGACAGAAGATCATCTAGTTAGATTACTAGGTCTTAGAGGTGATATTTCTCGTAGTGAAGCAAGAGAAAAAGTTTCATACATCTTTGAAGCCCAACGTAATCGTAAAGTACCACAATCTATTACACACAGCATATTCAAACAGATAGTTATACAGGATAGTTTTCTTAGTTGGAAGCCTTGAAATTCAAAGACAAAGAAAAATATAAATTAAATTCTTACACATCATCAATAAAGATGATTAAGTCCGGTACATCATATTTAATTAAGAAATAATGAACAGTTTCTTTGATTAGAGTTTCAGGAAACTTCACTCTTTAATTGAAATGCATTAG